TGCGTGTGTGTGTGTGTATGTGTGTACTCACCTATTTGTGGTTGCAGGGGTCGATTCATAGCTCCTGGCCCCGCCTCTTCACTGATTGCTACTGGGTCTTCTCTTTCCCTGCTCCATGAGCTTTATCAAACCTATGTATAGTTCCTGCCTCCACTACCTCATTTGCTAGGCTATTCCACTGCCTGACAACTCTGTGACTGAAGAAATACTTCCTAACATCCCTTTGACTCATTTTGAGTCTTCATCTTCCATTTGTGACCCCTTGTTTGTGTCCCATCTCTGGAACATCCTGTCTTTGTCCACCTTGTCTATTCCGTGCAGTATTTTATATGTCGTTAGCATGTCTCCCTGAGCCTCCTGTCCTCCAGTGTCATCAGGCCAATTTCCCTTAACCTTTCTTCGTAGGACAATCCCCTTAGCTCTGGGACTAGCCTTATTGCAAACCTTTGCACTTTCTCTAGTTTTTTTTACGCGCGCTTGGCTAGATGTGAGTTCCATACTGGTGCTGCATACACGTACACAGTGTACAGGGTCCTGAACGATTCCTTATTAAGATGGCGGAATGCTGTTCTTAGGTTTGCTAGGCGCCCATATGCTGCAGCAGTTATTTGGTTGATGTGCGCCTGAGATGTGCTGATCTTATACTCACCCAAAGCTCTTTTTCATTGAGTGTGGTTTGTAGTCTCTGGCCCCCTAGACTGTACTCCGTCTGCGGTCTTCTTTGCCCTTCCCCAATCTCCATGACTTTGCACTTGGTGGGGTTGAACTCCAGAAACCAATTGTGTGTCTGTGTGTGTGTCTGTGCGTGTGTGTCTGTGTCTGCGCATGTAAGTAAATTCTGGGAAGTACACAGGATAAGAATCAATAAAGCATGTGTCAAATGCCTACACAAACTCACTGATTGTCCTAAGAAATAAGACAACAGAGGGAAAAGACTACCTGAAGACCTTCAGTACGGTGCCACACAGATCACTAATACGCAACCTGGAAAAGCAGGCCAGAATATGAGCAGGATGCTTCACTGTATACACAATTATTAGTTACAGTGCGAGTAGTGGGTCAGGGGGGATGTAACAACTTTTTGGTGTCACAGGATCAGTTCTGAAGACATGATCACAGCTAGGAGGAGCATACAGTGTCCCGTAGCTCGATTGCTAACGCACTCAGCTCACACCCCGATGTCCGGGGTTCTATCTCCAGTACGGGTGGAAACATTAGATCGTGTTTACTTGAGACACCTGCTGCCCCTGTTCTCCTATCAGTAAAATAGGTATCTGGGTATCAGTCGACTGGTATGGAAGGCATCCTGGGGACAAAATTGACTTAATATGCCCGAAATGCTCTATATAATAGTGAGATTTCTTTACAATAATATGTAATTGATGTCAGCCAGACCTGTATACCTTGTATATGTACTTGTAGAAATAAAGATTATTATTATACAAGCTATTCTTAAGACTCCTCGGGAAATAAACAGACTATTCGAAAGGGGATAGAAGAAGATAAGGTGACTGAAAAAGAAATAAGATGCAGAAAGGAGCCAAAAACATATGAAGGAACTTGAGTGTGTTGACGGTGGTAAGAGGAGCACAATCGAGGAGGAGGTTGTAGAAACAACTACATGAATTCAAGTGTATATACATGCCTAGGACACGGCTTCTCCAGCATAATATCAATGTAATTTGTGCGGCTTGGTGTATGCAAATGAGGCCTCAAGATATGCATCGTATGGACATTGTTGGCAATACTTCGAGAAAATATTGTGAGGGTAGTGTCATCCTGCACCGGGAAGAATATATATCGAAGTGGCCATGTTTAGTAGTTTCTGTGTTGAGCTGAGTTTTACTGCTCAGTTTCTGTTTCACATTAGGATCTTTCACTGCTGATAAATATCTGCTATATAATCATCTCGTTCTCATACTTCTAATACCAACAACTATGACAGGTAACATTGCTAGTCCTGCGGCCCAGAATCACGATGGAGATAAATGGTATAAAATGCCGACACGATGGAAAAATAGGCACTAATGTGATCCTTTATTGACAACGTTTCGCCCACGCAGTGGATCGTATTATACTGCATTTGTGTCTATTTTCCAATCTATCACACAGAGTCTGGTAGACGTACACTGCAGGTGTATCCAAGCTTGTTAAAATCAGTAGGTCCCTCAACAACCTTAGATATCGTACCTGACTTATAAAGTTCATATTGCCAATAACTTCTGTTCGATACTTTATCCTCTGAGGGAGGTGGTCAGGCCAGAGGGTGAGGAGCTCCATGGAACTTGAGCGTTGGGTCGAAAAGATGTGACCTGGATCTGGCAGACTGCATAACGTCAAGTCTTACCTGGTTATCGACTGACCACGGCCATGTCTTAAGTTGGTTCAAATGGCATTACAAGTTCCTTGTGTGTGTGTACTTACCTATTTGTGGTTGCAGGGGTCGGGTCTTAACTCCTGGTCCCGCCTCTTCATTGGTTGCTACTGGGTTCTCTCTCTC